CTCCTCTGTACCCACCTTTTTTACTCCCACCCATCCCTGCCTGCTTCCGTCTGTGATACTTGCACACAAAACCAAACCTCAAACCCCAAACCTCATTTCCTCAAATATGCCCATTTCACCCCCTGTGAAATCCCACCCTGGTTTCCGTTCCCTGTTCCCCTGCCTCAGCATTCAGATCACCTGCAAACAACTCTACCTCCTCAGCCTGGACGGCCCTCGCTCCTCACTACAGCTCTCACCTCTGAGAGAAGCGGCACGGGGAGAGCCATGTGTCCCGCACCGCTGACTGCAACCTAATCCCATCTCCCTCTCCCACAGCACTCGCATTGTGGATACAGATACTTACGGATATCAAGGTGTGCAGGGACCCCTCCGCAGCACCCTCCTACCTGCCCGTTCAAATGCACACACAGCATCCAGAGGGTTTTCTTAGGTGCATTTAACCAAGTGAGGTTTAAGAGCATCCAGGCACGGTTTTGCAATGGCGTTGCAGTGCAGTGCGGTCAGGATCGGGGCAGATCCTAACAGAGGAGTGCGAGAGCAGGTGAGGATGTTTACGGGAGGTGGTGTTGTATCTGAGACAGTTGGTGTAGGCAGTAGGATTTCAAGGAGGAGGTGAGGGTGAGGCTGAGCAGCCTACACTTGATGTTGGAGGTGCCGCCAGTAAAAACTTGGCCTCCAACCATGACTGGCAGAGCAACGAGTGAAAGGCAGGGTGTTGTGGGGGTCAGAGGAGAAAGGTGGATCCTCCCAGGTCCTAGAGCAGCAGTGACTGAAGGAAAGACTGTTTTTTAACCGAGTAGCAGGAGCTGTGCTTTGCCTTCAGCCTCCCCCCTCTCCCTTTTGCTGTAAGCCCCAGGTACGGTGTGAACCAGGACTCAGAAGCAGGCTGAGCTGGGTGTAAAGGATCAGGGGATGAGAATGGATGGAGAACCACAAGAAGCATCTCAGAACAGAGCTGGTGCACACCTGTCCCATAAATACCTGAGAAGTTGATGGAGCAGCCTGAGTAGCAGGAGGTTTGGACCTCTCTGGACCTTGGGGACCTTGGAGCACCGAGGTGGGGTGATGAAGGCAGAAGAAGGCAGGCAAGGGAAGGAATAGTGTTCCTGGCTGACAGGAGATCAGGAAAGAGGAAGGAGGCATCTTCTGCGGCAGTGGGCAGGGTGAGAGGGTCCCATGTTATTGCTCAGTAGGGTTGTGTTGTCCAGACCTGCCGAGGATGGAGCAAGCAGGGGTCTGCAGTCAGAGCTAGCAGAGAGCTGGGCTTTGATGGGGCTGCTGGCTGTTGGGTTGTCCCGGGGTTCTGGAGTCCACAATGCCACCCATGGCTGCCACAGGGGGTGTGGTGCTGACAGGACTGGGGGCACTGGAGAAGGTGAGAGCAGGGATGGGGTGGGATTTGCCTGGTGATGTGAGGAGATGGGACATGGAAGCATCCACCTAAGTGGCAGGAGCATGTGGTTCTTCTTCCGGGTGGAAAACAGCAAACCTTGTGGGGCACAGGGGTAGAAGAGGGCTGGCTGAGGTTTACTTGTAATCTAATTAAGGATTGCTAGGACCTTTGAAGGTGACAGATATGATCTTGTCAAGTAGCAGAAAGGCCATGCAAGGTGATGAGGAGAATGGGCAGATGTTCCTCCTGAAAATGTGATGGCCCAGCCCCTCTCCCAGGGTTGTCTTATTGTTCATGGAGGTGCTGGTGTCCACGGCTTGTGAGCAGCAGCAAGAGAAGTGCTGAGGACCACAGCTTGGTCGGATGCCGTCTTTCCTGTGGAGTGACCACTCCATGTTCCACCTCTACTTTAAGGATGGGGCTTTTTAACTGTATGGTTTGCCAGCCGAGGTGTGTTAGTGGTCCCCGAAGCCAGCAGGGAGGGGCTGCGGGAGGCGTTTTCGCTTATTTTGGATAATCTGAGCAAAATGAGGGCTCAGGTCATCCCGCACCTATTTCTGAGAGAGGGAGCAGGCTGTGAGGTGGCAGTGCCTTGCGGGAGGCTGGCAGCAGCGGGCCACAGCCCCCTGCCCAAGAGTGTGTGTGCAACCGGGAGTGGGGCGAGCACTGCAGCCCTCCGAGCCCCGGGGCGGGGCG